GTGCTGTACCACTGAGCTACATCCCAAGCCCTTTTTCATTTTTTATTTTGAAACAGGGTCCTGCTAAGTTCGCGAGGCTGGTCTCCAATTTGCAATCATCCTGCTTCAGCCTCCCAAGCCACTGAGATTACAGATATGCATCATCATGCTCTGCTCATACTAACCATTTTTCAGTGTATGGTTCACTAGTGTTAAGTACACTCACATTGTTGTGCAACCAATCTCCAGAATGGTTTTCATCTTGCAAAACTGAAACTCTACACCCATTAAACAATAAATTCCCATTCTCCCTTCCCCTAACCCCTAGGGAAACTATCACTCATTTTCTAACTCTGTGAACTGGTCTATTCTAGGTACTTTATAGAAATGGAATTATACAATATTTGCTTCTATTTTTTTTTCTTTTTTTGGTACCTGGGATTGAACTCAAGGGTACTTAACCACCGAGCCACATCCCTGCCCCTTCTTGTATTTTGTTTAGAGACAGGGTCTCCCTGAGTTGCTTAGGGCCTTGCTAAGTTGCTGAGGCTGTCTTTGAACTTGCAATCCTCCTGTCTCAGCCTCCAGAGCCACCAAGATTATAGGCATTATTTGCTTTTTTTCTAACTGGCTTATTTAACTTAGCATAATGCCCTCAAAGCTCATCTATGTTGTAGCATGTCAAAATTTCATTCCTTTTCAAGGCCACTGTTTTAGACAGCTTTTTTCTTGCTGTGACTAAAGGATCTGACCAGAACAATTTAGGAAGAAAAGTTTGAGGGCTCACAGTTTCAGAGGTCTTAGTGCACAGAAGGCTGGCTCCATTCCTTGGGGCTCAAAGTGAGGCAGAACATCAGGGTGGAAGAGTGTGGTGGAAGGAATCAGCTCACGTGCTGATCAGGAAGCAGAGAGAGATCACCACTTGCCAAATACAAATATATACCCCAAAGCCACGCCCCAATTCCCCACCTCCTCCAGCCACACCCTACCACTTCAGTTATCACTTGTTAATTCCAATCAGGAGATTAATTCATTGATTAGGTTAAGGCTATAACCCAATCATTTCTTCTCCAAAACTTCTTGCATTTTCTCACACATGAACTTTTGGGGGACTCCTCACACCCAAACCATAACAGCCACCCAATACTATGGTATGTATACACCATATTGTGTTTTCCACTTACCTCTCAATGGAAATTTGGGCCGTTTCCACCTTTTGGCTATAGTGAGCAGCACTGCTATGAATACAGGTATACAAGTGTCTCATTGAGATCCTGCTTTGGGCCTCAGAGAGGTGTACTTCTACTCACACTTTATTGGCCAAAGCACATCACATGACCCCTCCTACTTCCAAGCTGTAAGAGAGTACAAATCCTATCATGTGCTACAAGAAAAACATATGGCAACCACCCCCATTTTTTCCCCACTTTTGACTGGGAAAAGGACAACTTCCTGTTTTATTATAACCTAAAAAATGGGCTTCCCTTCTGTGCATAGATTAGGAACTCAATAATTATGCCCTGTGTCACTATCAAATATCTTCCAGAAATGTTGCCACTAAGTGGAAACAGTGGTTTTATGAAGGACTTCTATTAAGATACCTCCTCAACCAGAAACAATTTCCCTTTTTCTGATGGTTATCCATTCCTTGAGCCAGAGTGTCCAGGTGAACTTTGTGACCTGTTAACTGGCCATGATTGTTCTAGGGGGAGGGCACCTGACTCAAGTTGGGTCAATTAGACCCTCTTTTTTTGGAACTTTGGGATGAAATGGTTGGGAAGCTTTAGACTCTTTCCATGTAGTCGGAGTTGTACCATATAGTTGAGAAGAGTTGATAGATACGTTTCTATTGTGTTACCTGGATGCAGAGAAAACAGGCTTGCAGGGAGAGTCACAGTGTCTCCTCTTGTTCTGCTTCCAACCCATACAGAAGCCTAGCTGGGTTTTTACCCTGGGCCTCTGAGAGACCCCTCCACCCAAAAAAGAAAAATCTAAAGTCTCCTTTTATTTTCCTTAAATTGGCCTAGTAGATTACTAGAATTTTCAGCCCGCATACTCCTAACAAATATGTGGTGGTGGTGGTGTGTTCTTTGCCTTTGGACACTGACACAAAATGTTTATAGGTATAGCCCATTCCAGTAAAATAAAAGTCAGGTTGTACTTATATTGCATCAACTATACTTCTGGCAGTTTCTTCCCGGCTTGAGAAAGCTCATGAGAATATGAATGTAAGTTACATTATTATAGGAATCACCTGTAATCTGCTTAACTTGATTTTTCAAAGAAAAATTTGTCTACTATGGTGAATATTATTTGGGAAATTCATTCATTCCAACACTGGTATTTCCTCTGTCTGGAGTCCCTTTCTCATTAACTCTTCAGATTCAGCTCCAAATCACCTCCTCTGGGGAACCTTCCCATACTCCTATAAACTGTTAGGTTTGCCCTTCATTCTGCTTCTCAAAGCAGTGGGCACAGCTATCTAGTGTGAAATACTTTTTTCAGAAGTCTTTCTTTACATGTATGTGTATAATACTGAGTTCTTCAGGGGTTAGAAGAGTGGGTTTATCTCTATTTCCCCCAGTGTGCCTTCATGGAAACAGGTGCTTGGAAAATTTTGTTAAATAATATTAAATTGAATCAACATATTGTATATATGCTCTCATTTGTTAAAATAAATATTTATTGAGTACCTGTTCTAGATGTCAGAGATGAGCAAAACAACACTTTGCCCTCAGGGACATCAGAGAAAATACTCACATCATAAAGGAGTAGGAGGAAAAATAAAGCAGGGTGAAAGGACAGAGTGATGGGGGTTGGGACTTGATATTTTAGTAGTCTAGGAAAGTCTTTCTGGGGAAGTGACTTTTGAGTAGAAATCTGGAGTGAGGGCACATGTCTTCTGAAATCTGGGGGAAGAAATAACAAGGGCAAAGGTGCTGAGGTAATAGTGAGCCTCCATATTCTGAAAGGAGTAGGGAAGGAGGCTAGTGTGGCTGGTTGATGAATGGGAGAGCAGAACGGAAAGAGACACAGTGAAAGGAGTGGGGAATGGTTAAGTGGGAGAAGTCAGATCACACAGGATCTTGGAGATCCTAGAATAAAGGATTTTGGCTTTTTCTCTGAATGATATGGGAAACCACTGGATACTTTGGTGGTGGTGGTGGGGGAGAAACGTGTTTTGACTCAGGTTTTAACAAGATCCCTCAGGCTGTCATGTTGAGAGCAAGGTAGAATCAGGGAGAACAGGTAGGAGACTATTGCAACATTTCATGGAAGAGAAGAAAGAATTTGAAGGGTAGAGCTGACATCTTTGCTAATGGATTACATGTAGATGATAGCAAGAGAGAAGTCAAGGAAGACCACAATGGTTTTAGCCTGTTACTACAAGGCTAGAGTTGACTTAACTGAGGTAGAGAAGATGTGTAAGGGGCAAGTTTGAGTGTTTGGCTCTGGACATGTTAAAGTTTGACACATTGCTCATACGAATAGATTTGTTGGTTTTCTGGATCTGAAGTTCTAATGCAATCTCAATTTAAAATCAGACTTATTTATTGAACACTAAGGTACTGTGTGGAAAGCTTTATATATGCCGTCATTTAATCTTTTCACTTATCCCATTGCTTAGTTACTAATATTGTCCTTCTACAGATGAGAGAGTAACATGTCTAAAGTCACTCAGCCAATTATTAACCAGCCAGAGTAATGCAGAGCTTGGATTCCAACGGGGTATGTCAGACTGAAGAGTTCTGTTATTAAGCAAAGACTTCTAAAGGTGGGGACTAAATTTTTGAATATATTTTCCACAAACTTGGGTTTCATAATAAAAAAAAAAGAGCCTGGCACATGTGACAGGAGTTCAGAAAAGTGCCCAATGTCATGCTAGACACACAGGTACTCAGGAGCTATGAAGAAAGAATAGCATTTTTTGAGCCAACGAAGCTGACACTTGGAAGCCCAAGTGTCTGAAGATTTAATAATGTTAAGGAAGCGGTGATCCTAAGTTTGTTTTGGCTATTACGACTTTTAAGAAAAAGAAGATATTAAAAACTGCAGTGAAGCCTTGGTGGGGTAAAAGGAAGACCAATTACCAGGGGACGTTTATTGGGAAACATTGTACTGGAAAGAGCGAGGGCGGACATGGTCTAGGGCCCCTGCCCAGTCCACACCCTTTTGAAAGCGTAGCCTCGCTTGGCCTTCCTTAGGTGGTCCTCTGGAAACACCAGGATGTGGAGCACAAAAGCCGGGAACCTCTGAGGCCCGGGCATCCGCCACCACCCACTCCTCCCGCGTCTCCCGCGTCTCCCGCTTCTCCAGCCTCCACGCCGCCAAGAGCGGGGCAGGCGTCCGCGCATGCGCCCGGGGTAAGGTCCGCTTCCCTCGACGTCAGGGGGCTCGCGCCCGCTCGAAAGCCCCACCCCCTTGACGCCTGAGGCGACCTGGGCGGGGGGCACCGGACCACGCCCCCAACCGAATCGAGCGGGGCCGAGTGAAGCCGAACGTCTCCGAGCGCCGCCGAGCCGAGCCGAGCCGAGTGGCCCGGAGTCGGTTGGTGCAGCTGCGTCCCCGCCGCTCAGCAGTCCGCGGCTCAGGCGTCGCCGCCGCCGCCTCCGCGGGGCCTGCGCCGGCCGCCCGCCCGCCTGCCGGGAGGGAGGGAGGCCCGCAGCGCCGGGAGTGCGGCCCGGCCGCCGCGGTCGCCGCCGCCGCCGCTGCCAGGTGAGCGTCCGCCGTGGCCCGGCGACCCCGTGTGCCCCGGCGACTGTCAGTACCCGGTGTCTGTGTGTTTCTCTGCCTGTCAGCCTCTGTGTCCGCGCGAGCTCCTTCCCGCCAGGCCTGGCCCCAGCCGGGCCCGCAGGCTAGGTCAGCCCCCTCCGCCCGCTGCCCCCTGTCTTTCTGTCAGCCGCCAGCACCCCCATGCTGGGAGGCTCCGCCCCTTCCCCCCGAAGCCCCGCCCTCGCCCATCTGTCATCACCCCCGGCTCCAGGCTCTGGCGCCCTGGGGTCCCTGGAGTCATTGTGGTCCCAAGGGCCACACAATTGCGAAAGGAGCAGAATGTTTGGTGGCGGGTAAGTAGGGTGTCCGCGGGGGCGCGCCTGGCGGTGTGAGAGTGCATGTCTGAGCGCCGCTTGTTTCCACTCCCGTGGGTCGCTGCCCGCTGCTGGGCTGGACAGCCCATGCCTCTGGTGTAAAGAGCATCAGCTCCGCCAGGGAAGGCAGCTGAGCCGGGGCACCAACCACTCGGGGTACAGTAGAATCTTGAACCCTGGGCTGTTGTTTCCCCACGTAAAACACTACACGTGGATCCCAGGTTCGCGGATGCCGTGAGTGGTATGTGAGCAGAGTTTGCGGCTTGTTAAGTTTGGGATTTCATTCAGAGAAACCTGTTGGAAGTGATTGAGGAGTGGGTGGGATGTGGGGCTCAGGTGGAAGTGAAAGCTTGAGTCATTTTGAGTTGCATGGTTTGCATTTCTGCCTTGCAAAAAAACTGTTATGGACTGGGCAGGGGCGGGGTGGTGTTTTTATTTATGTCCTGTGAACGCTAGTATATATTTGTAAATGTTTATTCATGAGGCATCCACACATTTTCAATTTAAAAATGGATTACGGCGGTTTCCATTTATATACATGTTCTTGTACGTTGTTATCTTGAGGTTCTTTATTTGTGGTAACTTAGTATTGCAGTATTTCAAAACTAAGAGAAAAATGTGTCCTAAAACAATTGGTATTTTGCCGAATAATTCTCAACCACGGAGAAAGAGCCAAAAGCGCACTTCATTAGCTGGAACAACTTATTTGGGCTTAATTTGTTTCTAAGAGACATACAGTGGAAAAATCCAAAAGCAGCAAAATAGTATCAAAGCAAGCGACTTAGAAAATGAATGAAAAGGGCCTTTTTGTTGCTGTCTTGGAAAGATGATATCAAAGTTGTTTTAGGGGACAGAGCTACTATGTAATGATAAATATTAACTAAGTTGGTTTTGTGACCTTGATACATTGAGCTACTCGATTTGTGCAGTGGTTCATGACAGGCAAACATTGCATGGGAAGTGTGGTAGTTTTGGGAAAAAATGTTCTCTGTGTTGTTTTTGGTTTTGTTTTTTATACATTGAAGTAAGATTTCAGACTAGGACAGTCTCATGGTGAAGTAGGTTTTTTTTTTAAAGGTAACATTAAAAGTTACAAAGTAATTCATATTTAAGACAGAAAACTTGAAAAACGAAAATGTAAGAAAAACTCTGTAACCTCAAAAACCACAATATTTATGTTTTTAGTTTTGTTCCCATGTGTACATATTCTTTTCTTGCAAAAAACGCTATCAGACTATAAGACTTTTATTGTATGCTTTGCCCCCTTTCACTTATAAATAGATTATGAGTCTTGATTTTATGAGTAGGAACTTGTGTTCCCTTTTAAAAAAGTAAGTCAGGTTGTGCCAGTTCTCTGCTTAGAGCCCTCTAACAGCTTCTTATCTTAAAATCTGAAGTCCTTTCTGTTGCCTACCAAGCTACCTCTTGGTTCTGACTTCCAGCCTTGCCAGACTGATGTCTCTGCTGTTCCTTTAACACTTCAAGCAACTCCTGTCTCAATGCCTTTGCATTTTCTAGTCCTTTTGCTGAGAACTTTGGTCACTGGATATTATCATGATTGACTCCCTTACTACTTCAGGTCTCTGCTCAAATGTAATCTTGTCAAGCCTTTTGCTGCTCTATAAAATATATCTCACCCCCTGTCCTCTCTTGCTGTGCTTTATTTACAGTCACTTATTTGTTGGTTTATTCTCTCTCTCCCTCATCAACCCAGAAAAGTGAGATTTTTTTTCACTGATGTATTTTCAGGGCCCAGACCTACACCTGGCCTTTTGTAGGTACTTACTATTTGCTGAATGAATGAATGTTCATTATCCTTCCATTCACATGACCTTGCTGCAGGTCTAGATAGCTATATCATTAGTCTCTTTAAAAGTCCCAACATTTTTCTCCTTTCCATATCTGAGAATTATTTTACAAAGTGAGGTTTATTATATTAAAAAGAGTTATAGTCTTGATTCAACTTAAACAATTAAGGGAAGGAACATTTTTGGCAAATGTGACTGGGCTTCTTTTTTATGCATTATCCCCTGTGTCACACTGGGAATCTTTCTAAAGTATAAGGTGTCCCAGTTATGTTTACAGCTGTGATTTCAACTTGGTTGTTCTAAGTAATAGTATAAGCCTCAAAAGCAGAGTGGGCTTTTTGTGTCAGCAGATACCCAGAGATATAATTATAGGTTTAATGTGTTTTTATTTGGGGAATAGCTGTTATATTTACTTATTTTCTTGGCAGTCCTATCCTTTTCATCTCCCTGCTTATCAGTTTTTGGCTGGCTAGCAGGTACACTTACTTTTTTTTTTTTTATTTAACTTTTAAAGTAAATCCTTGACCTTTTGAACATTTTACATCTCATGTGCCTTTTAACAGTTTGAAAGTAACATTTCATCTTTCAGGATGAAACAACATCTGTAGTAAAACATACAATTGAATTTTTAGTTATAATTTATAATTATAAGGGTGGGAAAACTATCTTGGGGCAGAATTTTTACAGAGAAGATATAATGTGAGCTTTTTAGAGGTTTGAACTTCAGGTGGACTACTTTTAGTGAGTTTTTGAGAGGAAAAAAAAGGTGTTTTGTTTTTAAGGATCCTAGTCCAGAGACCTTCAAGACCTTTTTTTTTTTTTTTTTTTTCCTTATGTTCTAAATATACAAGAATGGTGAGGGAGGTAGAATACTAAATGAAATTTTCATTCTTTTTAAAAGCCTAAAGGGATTGTGTTAGGAATTTATTTTTGTTCCATAGGCATTTGTTGAACATGTATTTGGGCAACTCTGTTTCGTGTGGGTTGCTTAATCGTGTTCAGTTTTAGATTATCAGCCTGCTTTCTTATTCTTTTTTCAGTTCCTTCACTTCTCTCATATTCTGTCTGATCTTATCCAGTCCCAGGATGTTAATACCCTCTGGATGCAGATGACTCCCTCTGCTTTGCCTCCTGCCCTTTCTCTGGTTCTAGACTTGTATTTTCAGCTATGAGGCCTTCTTGTTGTCTCTGCTTGCTGCCTCACTGTTTTCTCAATCTTCACATGTTCAGTATTGATCTCTTAACCTCTCTCTCAAATTTGTATTCATCATTCTTGACCACTCATATCTGTCTCCCCACCAGCCTTCCCTGTCTCAGTATCATTTCTCTCCATTCATTGTTCAGGTCAGGTACCTGAAAGTTGTCCTTACTTCTTTTTTCTTTTTTCCCATGTTTTTTTTTTTTTTTTAATTGGCACATTATAGTTGTACATGATAGTGGGATTTTTTTGTTATATATTTGTATATGTACACAATTTAACAATATGATCTGGCAAATATTATTTCCCAGTATTTCCCCTTTCCCTTCTCTCCTCCCTTTACTGGTCCCTTTCCTCTACTCCACTGATCTCCCTTCAATTTTCTTGAGATCCTTCTACTCTACCTTTATCTTCCTTTTTTCTCTTTAGCTTCCACATATGAGAGAAAACATATGACCCTTGACTTTCTGAGTTTGGCTTATTTCACTTAACATAATGTTCTCAAGTTTTATCCATTTTCCTGAAAATGACACAATTTAATTTTTTATGGCTGAATAAAAGTCCATTGTGTGTATATATAGCATTATATCATTTGTTGATGTAGTTGTCCTTCATTCTTCCTTTTTCTCCATCCCATGTTGAGTCCACCACATGGCCCGTCAGCCTAGCCACCAGAATATTATAGATCCTTCATTCCTCTTCTTCCTAAATCAGCCACCCTCTTCTTTTGGCTGGATGAAGGCTGTCACCTCCTAGTTGGTTTCCCAGCTTCATTCTTACTTTCTTTCTAGCACATTCTCTCATGGCAGCCAGAGTAATCCTACTAAAAAGTAAGATCATGCCACCTCCCTGCTTAGTGGCTTCTTACTTCCCTTAGAGTCATATCCACACTTACTCTTGAGGCCCCCACACCCTCTCCCTCTCCCAACCCCTGCTTACTGTCACCATGCTTGTCAAGTTTAGTACTGTCAATTTGTTGAATATGCCAAATTCTCTTCCTTTTTTGTGTACCCTCTGCCTGGCATTCTTCTCCCCACCCTTGTCATAGAAAGACCCTTTTCAAACATCCACTCGGCTAAAGTGTCTACTCTTCAAAGTGGCCTTCCCTGATTATCTCTTCATTATCCATTAGTACACATGCAGTTCCTGCTTATAAGTTCATAAAAATTCCAAATATTTTATTTATATGTTTGTTGCTTTCCTTAAGTGGTTAACTCTCCCAACAGACTACAAAATTTATGAGAACAGGGACATCCTTACTTTAGTTATGGCACAGCCCTGGCACCCACTGCTCTGCCTAGAATCCAGTATTTTTACAGGTGCTCAAACATTTTGAATATTAATTGTTATAGCAGCTAACCATTTTTTGAGACTTACTGTATATCAGATCCACTATTAAATGTACTCTCACATTATGTCTAAACCTTTGGAAGAATTCAAAAGGTGGTGATGATAATTACATTACCATTTCTATTTCTGAGTTGAGAAAGTAGAGTTTAGAGTAGTTAGGACTTTTTAAAAATATTTATTTTTTAGTTGTTGGTGGACACAATATCTTTATTTCATTTTTATGTGGTGCTGAGGTTTGAACCCAGTGCCTCACATGTGCTAGGCAAGCTCTCTATTACTGAACCACATCCCCAGCCTAAGTTAGGACATTTTTAAAGCATATAGCTAAGAATGTAGTGGTGTTAGGATTTTAAAGCATATGAACTGATCTTTGGACTATCCCTATTATTCATCACTGCCTTCTGGTACAAATATAGGAATGAATGTGAGATATGCTGTGATATTAATGGGTCCTCATGTTTGTTTTTAAGCACGTATGGGGACTTTGAAAAAATAAGAATGCTTGCTTTAAAGAGCAAAACTTATGGAAAGTTTTTCTTAATAGCCATTATGTCAAAGCACTTAGTTTAGTTTGCTTTCAGGCTCTGTTTTAATTTTCTTTGCCACTTTCTAGCTGCTAGTCC